ATATGTAGGCACATAAATAGAAGTCAGAGGACAACTTGAAGGAATTGGTTATTTCCTTCTACTGTGTGGGTTCTTGAGTTTGAACTCAGGTCAGCTGACTTGACAGGAAGCATTTTTACCCACCAATGCATCTTGCTGGACCTATATTTTGAAATCATAATGATTTATAATATACAGTATTACAATTTAATGAGTGATAGTGAAATAAAACAAAATAATTCTCAAAACTCACCCCTTCTGATCTATTCCATAATATTTCATGATTATCTGTCATCTTAAGATATTTATCCTATTGTATCTCCATGTTAGGATATGTGTTGATACATATCTCTCAACCCATTATTCAGTAACTTCTCACTGGGACTGTGAAACTAACTAGAGTTACAGTATTTATGCCAAGAAATTCTGGAAACAGTGTAAGTCAGAGCCCATTTACTGTTTTATTGACTATCTAGACTTTAGAAAGTAATGTGTTATTAATATATGTCAAGTGAAAAGTATGCTCTGTGGGTAGCCATTATATCATGAACAACATGGAAAATTGAGTTTTCAAAAGCTATTATTTGATTCAATAAGAAAATTATATCAATGAAAAATGAGTTTCACATGTGTCTTTGTTGATTAATTTTCATTTTACTCACTGGTAACTGAAAACATTAACAAGAACTCAGATTGTAAATTGCAATTGTATTGCCTGGGCATGAGATTTTGGTAAAAATTAATCAAAGTATTCATGGAAATCAAGTGCTAATATGGAGTTTACAATAAAAAGTGATATCTACTTTAATACCAGTTGTAGGTAATGTACCTTTCATATATGAACATATATATTTTATCACAGATCTGATTGTCAACACTTTGGGTTGATGATCATAGTTCAATTTATTTATCTCTTTAGGCCAAAAGTATCATCAGTCACTAATTAGATAAAGGATAAGATTAGGTAGTGCATATGAAATGTTTATGTACTATTAAGCATTAAACAACTAACAAATTGATTAAGAAACTGTTTTTCTTCTCATCCATGTTGTCTTCCATGTTTTAATAGGAAAGAACCTTAATTCTTAAAAAGATTCATTGGAGAAAAAGTTGCTTTATAGAGCCAATAAAATTATGTGGAATTTATCAACCTGGTATTTCCTTGCTTACATTAAACGATCTTTTTCTTAAGCTTTCAGATAGATTATACAGAATCATTGACTCTGTCTCAATTTGAATTGTACAGATATGATCTCCTAGTACATAAGGCTAAGAACAGGAAGAAGCTTCAATACTGCTTAAAAACAAAGAAGCATCAACAACTGTGTAATGCCATGGGGAGGTGAGGTAGACAGAATAATTATTAGGATTGAAATCTGGCTCAAAGTCCAAGGACCAACTCTTCCTATATTTACCCCTGACTCATAAATTATCCAGATATTGTGATTCATCTCATCAATGTGGAAAATAACTCAGAGGAAGCAATAGTATTTGTTCATGGACTATCATAATTATCACTGCTGGGTTGACTTAGTGGAGCTAAGGGAGATCAGATGAAGTCAGCCTCACTTAGTTTTCACCATTTGATCAGATTAAAATAGGGGACATCTTAAACTAGTCACAGAGCTCAATGTGACTGAAATAAAAATAAGCAGCGAAGGAAGGGATATAGCTAAAGTTAGTTTTCTTTTTCATTATTTTACAATGTTGGTTTATAAAATATGGACTAGTGATATTCAACTTGGGCATCTCATTGGGAGCAATTATTTATAAAAAGCATCAAATGCTAGAGCTGATGTGCCAAGAGTAGCAATTGTTTAGTTTGAAGTGGCCCTGGAGTTTATCTTATTTTTATATTATCTTGTTCAATTTTATTTCGTGGATGTGGATAAAGCCATTAGCTGGACAGTAAGATTATTTCAGTTTAGCAGGAACTTCAGAGATCAGGCTTGTAAAATACAAGTCGGAGAGCTTAGGCATAAATTGAATTTCTCATCAAAGACTTGGGGTATAGTGATTTCTTTGCCACTTTTATAAAAAGGAAATTAATAAATAACACTAATTTGCATGTACTAGTTGAGCTTAAAAACATTAAAAAGCAAAGGAACTTTTCTGTAAAATTAATATTTGAAGATAAAATTACCAGGCAGGACTTATCCTTTCTCAAAAACATTTAAAAATTGTCTATCACCACTTGGTGAAATGAATAGCAGCTTCATTCTTAGACTATACCTGAATCCTCATTTCTGATCATCCTAGATCTTTTTTTTTTTTTTTTTTTTTTTTTTTTTTTACTATAATTCTAAAATGTGTAGCCCAGGCTGGCCTCAAACTCGTGATCCTCCTGCCTCCGCCTCCTTCAGCAAATCCTATCAGCATGCACCACCACAACCAGCCCTAGATCTTTTCTTGAAACTAAAGTTCTGGAACTATCATCCCCATACTAAACCAAAACCCACTCAGAGTTCATAGTGCTTCTTGGCTATTGGCAGCTTTCCATTGCTACATAGAGTAATGATTCACTTATTTGCTAAGCCTGTTAGAAACATTTGAAGGAATGATGTGAGTTATTATTGAAGTCCTATTATTGAGAAATCATTGATAGTGTATTTGACACCCTGAGGGTTTTTTTTTTTTTTAAAAAGCGAACAGCAGAGAAGCAACTCAGTTGTTAACATCTAAGTCACCTCTATATTTGAGCATAAAATGCAGTTGCTTTGACTATCATTTATTCATTCACTCAATAGAACTCTCACCTATGATATCCATATACATACTTAAGGTTTTCCTCCTGATTCTCCTATATGTATAATTTTTGTATTAATAGTTGTCTATATTTAAAATAAATTATATCTCAGTAACATATCCTTATAGTAGTCCCATGAGTTTAACAAATGTTAGAAAAGTTGTTGTTTCCTCAGTTGATGTTTTGTTATATACTGTGGCTGACCGAGGCACAACTTGGGGTGGCCTTTAAGTATCCTCTTCAATATGCTTCCCTGATGCTCTCAGAGACACTTCAATGAACATGCTCTCCAGTGGACACCAGTGAGCCTTTAATACAAACTACTATAAGGTAATTCAATTTGGCATCTCTTCTGCAAAACTGTCATTTTGATCTCTATGTATAAATTCTGTAGTCATTCTTGAGGGCACATTACTATACTCTGTTGAAATAAGGACATTATTTCCACATGATTTCTGCCTCATTGTTTACTTCAACGAATCAATAGCTACAAAGCTGCCTTCCTAAGGTCATAGTATTAAGTCATATGTAACTGGTAAGTAGATTTACAGGCAGTCTTGAAGTACTCAGAGAAACTGAACTCATTAGCAATTTGAGGAAACATGCGTAGGATGCCTGTCTTCTTTCCATTGTTCTAACATTTGGAGATGAAGGAATTGTACAAAATGGTTAAGCTTTGGAGCCTGAAATCTCTTCAAGAATTTGTTCTTACTAAATCTTACTTATCATTGAGGTTCAAATTCAATACTTTATATACTTGGAAGTCTTTTTTAAGTTTCCTATCAGACTGTATGATATATCTGTAAAAAATTCATGTCTTTAAATTTCTCTTTTGTGTTATAAATTAACTCCATGAGGGCAGAAAAAATGTCCATTTTATCAACTGTTCTACCACTAGCACCAAGCACACTGCCCAATAGTGTACATGGTGAATACCTGATTAGTACAAGAGTGACTGAAATAATAATAAACATGGTGAGTTTGCTATGCACTGTATGTTGTATTGTTTGATCTGTGTTGGGTTATATAACTTAATCAAATCAATATATATATATATATATATATATATATATATATATATATATTCAATGAAAATTCAGGAATACAGAGAAGAGGAGCCAAGAGAGAACTCAGATTTGCTTGTTTCTAAAGCCAATGCTCTGCCTGAAATGTCCCATTACACTGGTCACTACTAAAGTGAAAATGCAGAATAACCACTGATTTTGAAGATACATTTGTTATGATTTGGATACAAGGTATTCCCTAGAAGGCTCATGTGTTGTAGGCTTAATCCCTGGCTTGTGTTGTTTGTAAATTCAACCACTAAATGGTAACTGGATCATGAGGGCTCTGACATTATCAATGACATTTTATTGTTAATTGTTTATTATTAAAGAGCTTCATAATTTATTGGCATTCTACTAGGTGTTGGTAGAAATTAGAAGATAGAGTGGTTAGAGAACGTATGTCTTTGCCTTTCTTTCTTCTGCTTCTCTGCTTCCTGATTGCCATAAAGTTAGTAACTTAATCACCATTTCCTATTACATTGATGGCTGTTCCAATACTGTAAACCCACAGCAATGGTGCCAGCTGATCATGGATTAAAACTTCTAAAGGCATGACCCAAAATCTTTCCTTCTTTAAGTCAGTTTCTCTTAGAAAATTTGTCACAGTGATGAGCAGCTAAGTTGCCATAATAAATCAATCTACTTTGTTTAATGTTTATTCCCAAATAAATGGACACTGGTAAGACATATATTGGACACATTAAAATAATGTAGCTGCTCTGTTTCATAGGATCATGATAACTTTGTTTCCATTTTGATTTCACCACAAAGTTGCGTGATCTATGCCAGGAAAGAACTGGTTCAAATATTATTTTTTTCCAAATGATAAAATGTCCAATAGTATTCTCTAAAATTCTCTTTTATTTTATATAACTGCATAAAACTCTTGGGTTTTATCGTGAAGCATAGTAATTGTTGGTCGGTGACATTGCTTTTCTGGGTGTTTAGATAGGCTTCTGGCTTAGCATATTGCCACTCAGTGGAGTGTAGATCTCTAGGTCAAGTTTACAGTGTGGGGAGGATGGCTCTTGAACAGAGATCTGGTTCTGAATACAGAAGAATCTGTTTGCCCAGAGGCAAGGCAGCACTCCCAAATGATTCTGCTTGAAGGCATATTCAACTACAAGCAGATCATCTGGTATAGTTTCACCTTCCTTGCAGTTTTGTCTATCATCAGAGTGAAGGAAACAAAAAGAACAGTTTATTACCTGACCAGTGAGGAGGAGGAGGCAGGCAAAGTTGAAATGGTTGGACACCTAAGGAGGAAAATGAGTACTTATTTCTAGGCTGCACAATCTCTGGATTGCAATGTTGGCCACAGGAAATAAGGTACCTATAACTTTTCAAAACGCAAATTTGGGAAAAGAAAGAACAGACTCCTTCCTTGGTGTTCAAGATTGTGATTCTGGTATAATCATAGTGATCCAGTTACATAGTGAAGGAATATGTGTTTTAAAATTTCTGGTAGATCAGTTCAGGCTTAAGGAGGACCTAAGTGAAGACAGTAAAATTGTTCTCAGGAAAACTAAGTCAGAGAAAGCACAGCTTGGAAAGCTACCAAGGCAATAAGAAAAAAAAAGGGTCGTTGGAGCAGATGTTCACATCAGAAGGTCACAGAAGAAACAGGTCCACTATTGACATTAGTCTTATTGAGTCTAGGAACGACATGGAAAAAGATGGTATTTTCAGCTACTGGTTGCTTCTTTATTCTTGAGGGAAATTTTTTAAATGTCAAGAAAATATTTATGAAAATAAAAGTGTCCAAATTCACACAAGAAGTCATAAAGGAGAGCATTGCTAGTGTGAGAGATCCCAACATCTCCTAGATGGTCACATTCAGATGTGAAAAGCTGCTGTTAACAGAGTTGTAGATACCCTTAAGGGAAGTAGGAGAGAGATTGCATATTCAAAATGTAGAAATGTTTTGCATGGAAAGAAGGGAACATTGCAAATGAGACAAGTGATACTCACAATTTTTGGAATGGTTCCAAGCTCCACAGATAAAAAGAATTTGAAAGACAAGAGTATAGAGCTTTAGGAGGAGGGCACAGTGTGAGCTCATGACAGCTGTGTCTTAGAAGACACTTCATCAAGGCTACTGGCTCAATTTTCCCATCTCCTGAGTCTACAGTGCCTTATCTTCATTTTCCACACTCCTTTTCTCACTCAGATGCAGCTATTTGCATGCAAGTCTACTGCCCACACTCATCATGCAGTGTGGGCAACTGGAGGGCAGGAGGCTTGCAACTTCATATAGACAGCTGTACTTCAGCTCCAGGGCATCTAACATCTTCTCTGGCCTCCACAGGCATACACACACATACACACACACACACACACACACACACACACACACACACACACACACACACACAAACACACATGAATGAGAGAGGGGGAGAGGGGAAAGAGAGAGAGAAAGAGAGAGAGAGATAATAAAATCTTTAAAATATTGTGAACTTTAACACACAAGCAGGGGAGAATTAAGCATAAACATGCAGTCTGTGAGAGCACAGTCATTCCTTAAGATGAGAGAGTGGATAGTGTCAACATCTCTGGGGATCACAGGTGTGCTTTCTGGGTCACAGACCATTCCTACAAACAAACGTTTCACAGAGCTCTTTGATAATCACCTCCAGCTTTCCATCACACTTTCATCACTTTCCCGTGTATCCTCAAACCATTTAATTTATTGTGTCTGCTTTCAAGCATCGCTAAATATCACAGAGTCCATGTTCATTATGTGTGTGTGTTTTTAAGTTATATTTGCAAAACTCATTTCATTTGTGTAGCTTTAAGTTTCATTGCTTTTTGAATCAGGACTAGAAGCAGAGTTTGAAGAGCTGGAAGCTTATACAAGTTGTATTCTTTAGGATAAATAATACAGACATCACCTCAATTAATTTTATAAAACTGTATGCTGTGTGAATATAGTTTGAGGATCCTGTGCATCCCTAAAGAGATCAAAACAAGCACACGGCCTGAAGTCCAAGCTAACCTGGATTCGTGGGAAATACACTTCTATATGCAGCTCTTGCACTCAAAACTTCAGTTCATTCATTCTTATGTGTGTTTCAAGTGCTAGTGCTATTAAAACAAAGCTGCCAGAAACACACACTTGTTCTAGGGTAACACAGTTTAACAGAAATACAGCAATGCAAATGCCTTGAAGTTGAGTGTTTCAACGTTGTCCCGGCAGCCATATTTGGATAGTGAGCATTGAGTTGCAGCTAGTGTAACTGAGGAAATAGATATAAAATTTAAAAAATAAACCATTTCATATTTTAAAAACCACATTTGATTATTAGCTACAGGAAACAGTAAAATTCTAAGCTATATAGGAAAGAGCAGCTGCTGAAGTAGGAGACATGGGTTTAACTCATTTTTGGAGATATCACCAACCTCTTTTTTCAAAGGAGTTCAAGAATTTCTCTCAGCAAGAGTTCAATTTCTTTAAGATTCATTTTTGTTACTTTAAATTAGTATATGTGTATGTGTTTATCTGTGTGGGTATGTACATATGTGAGTGCAGGTGCCCTAGGAGACCAGAAGCAGGTGTCATATCCCCAGGAGCTAAATTACAGGCAGCTGTAAACTGCCTGATGTGGATGTTGAGAAGTGAACCCTGGTCCTCTGAAAGAGTAACAGGTGTTCCTAACCATTGAGCCATCTATCCAGCCCCACCAGTAGTTTATATGAGTCTTTACTTTTCCACATTCTCATTATACTACTTAATTTTGGCCACTCTGTGGGTCTGCATGATAATAACAGATTTTAAAAAACCATGGAATGATGACTCAATGGGTAAGAGAACTTTCCCTGTAAGCATGAAGACCTGAGTTTGAATCTGTAAAACTCAAACAAAAACCCCGGCATGGCTATGCATACTGTAATCCTACACTAGGGAGCAGACATAGATGGATTTCAGGAGTTCATTAGTCAGCTGACCCAGGTAAAAAGTGATTTTCTAGTTCTGAGACCCTGTCTCAAGGCAATAATGCAAAGAGCAATAAAGGAAGACCCCTGATGTCTTGCTCAGGTCTCTGCATGCATAGTCTCAAGCACTAGGCAGGAATAACTACACACTCACATACATGTACCATATACACTGTATACCATGATTAAATGATTTAAAAAATTTACAATATATATCATGGACAGAAGACTGTTATCTCTAGTGTCTCCAGGACTGTTATCTATCTCTTAAAATGGAAAAATAAGCTGGGTGGTAGTGGTGCACACCTTTAATCCCAGTACTCAGGAGGCAGAGGCAAGCAGATCTCTGTGAGTTTGAGGCCAGGCTGGTCTACAGAGCGAGTTTCAGCACAGCCAGAGTTAAATAAAAAAAACTCTGCCTTGAAAAAGTATGAATAAATAAATAATGGAAAAATAAAGGACTAAAACTAAAATAAAAATTAAAATAAAAAGCCCTCAAATATATGAAAACTATTCAAATTTATTTAGGGCTTGATAAATGGAATTTCAACACACTAGGCTTATCATTTCTCTGTTACACTGATAGACCATTAAAAGTGTGACACTAGATTTTCTTAGCAGGGTAGTGAGAAAAGTACCTCCTTACATAAGTTGTTGGTGCTGAGAATGTCAACTTTTATGATACTTAAATAGAGGGCAACTTGGCAGTTCCTAACAAAACTGTAATTACTCTTTGACCCTGAAATCTTAATTTTAGGAACTTATCCTGAAGACATTTTTTCAACAAGACTACACACACACACACACACACACACACACACACACACACACACACACACGTTTTCATTGTAGTATTGCTTTTCATCGCAAAAATACTAAACACAGCCTAAAGAGATTTGTGGAATCAACTGTCAAATCTATAATAGATTATTAATGCAGCTACATATTATAGAAGAAGGATCCCTATGAATGGACTAGGATCTAGGATCTATTATGTCTTAGTGTTTCTGTTGCTGTGATACAGCACCATGACCAAAAGCAACCTAGGGAAGAAAGGTCGTATTTTGCTTAAATTTCCAGGTAACAGTTTATCACTAAGGGAAGTCTGGGCAGAAACTCAAGTAAGGCAGGAACGTGGAGTGAGATTCTGACTGGATGCTACTGGCTTGCTCCTCATGGGTTTATCAGCCTGCTTTCTTATAGTAACCAGGACTATTTGTCTAAGAGTGGCACCATGCCCTATGGGGTAGACCCTCCCACACCAAACAGTAATCAAGATGATACCCCATAGACTTGCCTACAAGACGATTTTACGGAGGCATTATCTCAACTGTGGCTCCCCTTCTCATTAATTCTAGCTTGTGTCAAACTGACACAAAATTAGCCAAGACAATGATATTCTATTGCAATAAAATATAATTTAAATAATTGTAATAAAAAGCAAGCACAAGTTTTGCCTGGCCCACTCTCAACTGGCCCTCCCCTCCTACTCAACATATCCCAGCCTCCAGTTCTAGCAGAGATACCCTGCTGGACCAGAGGACATGCCTCTAGTCACCAGAGCTATAGCTAGCCCACCCTGCCCTAGCACTGTCCCCACTCAGTGCCCACAAAGCCTACCTCCAATACCCCATGCCACCTATCACTATATCTCAGAGCCTAACTCCTGCAGAGGACCCACAGCTGGATCAGAGGCCATATAGTCCACCAGAACTCCAGCCCTCAACTTGAGTAGAGACCCTTTACTCAACCATAGGCCACTCTGGCCAGAAGACAAGAAAAGAAACAGAAACCAAGGAACAAAACACCCATCCAACAAAGACAAACTCAGAAATCTGTACTTAGACCTATAATTACCCCCAACCCAGATGCCGACACACCAGCATAATCAGCAATAGCCAAGTCAATGTCACCAAGAGAGCCCAGCAATCCTACTACTACAAGCCCTAAATATTCCAACACAGCTGAAGCACAAGAAAAAGACCTGAAAACTAACTTTATGAAGAGGATAAAGATCCTTAAAGAGGAAATTAATGAATCACTTAACAAAACAAGATGGTATAGCCATTCTAATATCTAACAAAACAGACTACAAAACAAAAATAATCAAAGGGGACATGGAAGGACACTTCATGCTTATCAAAGGAAAGACCTACCAAGATGATCTTTCAGTCCTTAACATTTATACCCCCAAACACACAGATACCCACATTTGTATAGAGAACACTACTAAAGTGTACCCATTGATCCTAACACACTGATAGTGGGAGACTTCAATACCCCATTCTCATCAATGGATATGTCATCCAGACAAAAACTA